TTAGAGAGAGAAGATATAAAGCCATCATTAATTTCTTAGGTTAAGCCAATGTCTCTCTTGGCTGTAGAGCGGTGCTGTTGTGTTGAATTGAGCCAACATCTGATGTCTTATCTGGGCAACATTTTCCTCATCAAGAAGAAAACCATTCGATCAGGCTTGGTACTGAATGCCTTTAGTCCCAGCACTCAGGGGCAGAGATAGGCAGATCCCATGAGTTCCTGGCCAGCCTGGTCTACAAAGCAAGTTCCTGGACAGCCAAGGCTGATACACAAAGAAACCCTGACTCAAAGAAACACAAAAAAGAAAAGAAAATCATTAGTGAGAAATAGTTTCCTAAAATTACTACTGATTTTTTTGCCTAGTAGTTTTACCAGTTACTGAAGAAAGAAATTAAACTTTTTTTACATGATTATGTATTTCTTGATTTTACTTTAATTAACTAAGCTTTTGTTTCTAATGATTTAAAATTCTGAATTGGATACATGTGTTCACTTGTAGTTGTTTGATAGGCTCAGTGGTGTGACTAATACAATCATGAAAGGTTATCTTTGTATAGGTCTATTTTGTTTTATGTTAATCTGACCATTTGTGACAGGCTTAGTAATAGCTCCCATTACCTTATGAAGCAAAAGGGACTCTGTAGTTGCAATTGACAAGTATGTATGTATGTATGTATGTATGTATGTATGCATGTATGTATGTCATCATTTTGTCCCCAGGCTGGCCTGGAACTTGTGATCCTCTGACATCAGCTTCACAATGCTGGGATTATAGGTGTGCTTTTAAGAATCTTGACTTGAGGGATTATGTTGACTGCCCCTGTGCAGTGAGAAAAAGGAGATGTGACCTTGGAAGCAGAAGTAGAACCGACACTTGGAAGGCGGTGGACTAAACTGTAAATCAAGGACCAAAGGCAGCTTGAGGCCCTAGAGCAGTGAAGGAAGCTGGTTGCTTCCACAGGGAAAGCAGCTCAGTGATTGTAGACTTCTGACCCCTGGAACATTGAGAAAATACATGTCATTTTATGGCTCTTAAGTGTGTCACAGGTGGTTTGTTAAAGCAGTGATAGGAAACTAATACACCATTTCAGGCTTCTTTTGTTTACCATTCATTGACTTATATATATTTCTTTTTTTGCATGTGTGTGAGGTGTGTAGTGTGTGTGCAAGAATGCATGCACACGGAAGCCGGAGGAGGATGCTGAGTGTCCTGCTTTATCACTCTTCACTTAATTCCTTGGAGAGGGTCTCAGCTTGGCTGGCAGCCAGCAAGCTCCAGCAATTCTTGTGTCTCTCTCTACTCAACACAATACTGGGGTTGTAGGTGCTGCTTCTGCTCAAGATCTTACTTACATGAATGATTAGGGTTTGAACTCTTGTCATCATGCTTTTAAGACAAGTGCTCTTACCATTTAGCAATCTCTCCAGCCCTGTACAGTAAATTTTGTATAATTTTTTTTTCAAGATAGGGTTTCTCTGTGTAGCTTTGGAGGCTATCCTGGCACTCGCTCTGGAGACCAGGCTGGCCTTGGACTCACAGAGACCCGCCTGCCTCTGCCTCCCGAGTGCTGGGATTAAAGGTGTGCGCCACCAACACCCGGCCTATAATTGATTTTTTCAACTGGTGACATTCATCACACATTACCCAGCACCTTCCCGCCCCCATGAACATGTGTATGTGCTGTATGCATTCGTGTGTGTGTGTGTGTGTGTGTGTGTGTGTGTGTGTGTGTGTGAGTGACACTGAACCTGTAGCTTATCAATTTGGCTAGGCTGGTTGGCCAGTGAGCCCTGGGGATCTTTCTGTCTCTACTGTCCTGCGCTGGTTTGCAGATGCATGCGGCGACGACTGGCTTTTTATGTGGGTGCCGGGGATCTGAACCCAGGTCCTATGGTTGCATGCAAGCACTTCACTGACCAAGCCAACTCCCCAACCTTGGTATTATCCACAGGTATTATCCACAGGTTCTTCATATTCATTGATACTTCCTTCTGAATGTTCCAATTTGCTATTAACCATATCCAACATTTTTAAAGATTATGAATATTATTCCAGAGCATTTGATTGATTCTTTTTTGATAAGACTCTTCAGCTTTTTATTCACTCTGACCCTACCTTTTTTCTAAGTTTTTTTTTTTTTTTTTTTTTGTAATTATTACAGCTCTTGTTTGCTGACTCTGGTCTCTATTTCATTATCTCTACTTAATGCTTTTTCCTCAACTGATGGTTTAAAAGTGTTATGCCTGAGTGTCAACTTGACAAGGGGCGGGCTTGTGATGGTTAATGATTGTCAACCTGTGGGTGTGACACCGCAGAGTTCACATACCAGATATTTACATTACAATTCACAATAGCAGCAAAGTTGCAGTCATGAAATAGCAAAGGGGTCACCACCTCGTGAGAAACTGGATTAAAGGGTCTCAGTTTTTGGAAGGTTGAGAACCTCTGCTGTTTGTCGCCCACAAGGCAAACCTCCTGTGATGTCTGGAAGGGAGTTTCTAAATTGAGGTACTGAGGTGGGAGGATCCACCCAAAATGTGGGCAGCACCGTCAACAAAATATGATCTTCAGCTCAAAAAGAAAAACACGAGCTGAGCACCAGCGTCCATCTCTCTCTGTGTCCCAGCCTGCAGATTCAGTGATCCCAGTTGTCTCAAGCTCCTGTCATCAGACCTTTCCACCGTGAGGGACCCCATTCCCTTCATCTGTGAGCCCAAATGAACTCTCCTCCAATAACCTGCTTCTGTCATAGCAATAGGAAAATCATAGCAATATGAAAACCAACTAAAACACTCAAGTAGCAATACAAACTCACTGTGTAGCCAGGATGGCCTTGAACTCATGATCCTCCTGCCTCAGACTTCTCAGGGCTGGAATTGCAGGCAGGCACCACCACACCAGTCACAGCACAAGATGGAATTCCCTTCCCCTTTATTGCTGATTAATATTTGACTACAAGTATAAACTAAATTTGACATTTTTTCCTTTTAAGGGTGTCAGTATTTGTCCTCATGTCTGTGGCTAGGTGGAATCTTGGTGTTTTCCTAGGGGTGTGTGTGTGTGTGTGTGTGTGTGTTAGTGTGACTAGCAAACACTACACGATCTCTGGTCTGACATTCAGCTTTGGCTCTGCAGGGGACATGTTAACGAGATGCAGTTTTAGTTCATGCCCGGGCATCCTAGTTTTTAGTCACAGACCTGTGGTGGATTCCTCTGCAGTTTTTCTGGTACCTCCCTCTGAGTAGCTCTGATCAGTTACTGGGCTTTACAAATTCCAGCCACATTAGCAGCTCTCAATGCCAGTCTCTGACTCCTGCTTGGTGAGTGTGACTGCTGCCCTGTTTAGGATTTTCTTTTCCTTATCTGAGCCTGACAAGGGCCCTTGGGGGAAGCCAGCCTGGAGAGCTGAGTTAGTTCACCTTAGTAACTATCTTTTCTCAAAGACCACAGCAGTGTGTGTGTGTGTGTGTGTGTGTGTGTGTAAGGTGTGTGTGTGTGTGTGTGTGTTGTGTTTATGTGGATGTGTGTGTGGTGTGTGTGTATTTGTGGTGTGTGTGTGTGTGTGTGTGTGTGTGTGTGTGTGTGTGTGTGTGTGTGCATTTGTGAGTGAGTGTCCGTATTCTTGGCTGGAAGACAGTCCAGGACCCCTCTGTCATGACTGGGAACAACTTTATTAGTTTTCATTACCAGTCCTTGGTTCTCTTCTCTTTCGCCTCTTCTGTCTTTATTCACTCTAACTTAGTGACTGTCTGAATTAGGTTTCTATTGCTGTGATAAACATTATGCCCCGAAGCTGTAGGGGAGGAAGGGGTTACTTCATCTCACTTCCACGTCTGTCACTGAAGGAAGTCAGGGTGGGAGCTCCAACAGGGCAGCTAGACTGAGGCAGAGGAATGCTGCTTTCTACCTTGCCGCCACTACCTTGCTCAGCCTGCTTTTTTTTTCTTTTTGGTTTCTCTGTGTAGCCTTGGCTGTCCTGGAACTCATTCTGTAGACCAGACTGGCCTCAAACTCACAGAGATCCGCCTGCCTCAGCCTGGGATTAAAGGCGTGCGCCACCACTTCCCAGTGTGAAACCTGCTTTCTTGTACACCCCAGGACCACCACTCCAGCTGGCACCACACACAATGGGCTGGGCCCTCCCATAGCCCTCACTAAGAAAACACTTACAAACTTGTCTACAGGTCCATCTTATTCAGGCAGTTTCTCAGTTGAGAATCTTCTTTCCCAAGTGACTCTGGCCTGTGTCAAGTTGACAATAAACTAGCCAGGACGATGATCTTATCTGGTTCTCAATTCCTATGTTTTTCTTACTTGGGTTTTCATTAGCTTTTTAAAATTATTTTTATTTTCTCCTACTAGAAATCAGTTGCTGACACTTCATTAGATTTTGTTTCTCTTTGTAACTGTCTCTGCACAGAAAGATAAAGCAATGAGAAAGGTCATGGTGGGAAGTTTCCATTGTGTGGAATAAAGGTGAGCACACACCTGGAGGAATGTTCTGGGCTAGATAGCTTTGTGCCACACTCCCAAAATACATGGGAGTCAGTTTCTTCCATGATCCAGGACCGTGCAGCCAGCAGCCCACCACAAGCATTCATCCGGATTCAGAAGGCCCAGGAGATGATGAAATCAGATCTAGTTGGTGTCTGTCTCTTTCAGAAGGGAAGGAGACTCTGGGATGAAGTCTAGGAACCCCTCGCTTGTAGTGCGGAATCCAGAGGCTTAAGCACTGTTATCCCAGCAGAGCAAGCTGTCACTGGGAGCCAGTGTGCGCCTGATGAGCACCTAAGGAGTGCTGCTGCTGCGTTTAAAGAGCAGTTTGAACATTTAGCTCTACAGCAACCCTACAACTTCAATCATTTCCTGAGAAACTTGCTTCTGCTTCTGTCAAGTTTCCTGCTGCTATTTTACAGGATGGGCCATTTCCTCACTGTTGCTTCTTCTCACCCTGCTCTCATTCAACCCTCTCCACTGCGTGTGAAAGGCGTTTGGTAGAGATGGCTGACAGCGATATTTATTGCACATTAGAGTTGCCTGCTACACCTCAAGTCCAAGAAGACTCCAGATCAAAGCTCAGAGGTGAGTTGACCAGCACTGAAGACTGGGCTGAGGATGAGTGGAGAAGAGAGCAATTGGGAGGACAGAGTGCAGAAAATTGAGGGTGATTTGAGGCCATACTTTTGGGTTCAGTTTGCAGTGTTGGTGAGGGATATGGACTTTTGGTGTGGAGTGCCGCTGAAGTCTGGGTCTCAGGTAAGTCTTTTCTAGGCTCCTCTGAGATCCCAGCTAATGCCAAGCAATGGCAATGACATCTTTTTGTTGTTGTTGTTGTTGCTTTTAAATTAAAAAAAATTTTAATAATAAAAGTAGAAAGATACCAAATGGGGAAGCATAATAAATCATCAATTAAACAAACAATGATAACAAGAAACCAAAGGTGCTCAATACCTGTTAACACTTATCAAAACACTTGTTGTTGTTTTTAAGTTTTCTTTATTCTTAAGGATCTTCTCCATGTAGACAAGCGTGCTAGTTTTTGCTGATCTCCATCTATAGTAAGAGCTTTGTGAGAGGATTTTGTCTGCAGCCGGGCTTTGAGCAGTTGACACTAACTGTTGAAATCCTGCCATCTTGCTTCTGTAGCCATGGCATAAAGAAAACAACAGCTTTATTGAGGGGCAATGGCAAGACTTCTGGAGATGAGAAATGGATGCACCTATGTAGATTCGTTTCCTGTTCTCCACCCTCGTTCTCATATTACAACTGAATGATGACAGGGGATAAAAAGTGCTGAACTCCATAGAACGCTGGCCCTGTGATCTGGGAGGTCAGGGGACACCAACAGTAACACCCACAAAAACAATTTTCTATGTAGATTCTCATCTGAGACAGGGAACAATGTACATGCCAAAATTAATACTTGACTTTGTAACTCAAGCAGGTGACTACCAGAAGATATATTCTCTTTTGTAGTTCTGTAGACTTTATCATGTTTTCTCTTTTTGGTTTCAATTTTTTTTTTTTTTTTTTTTTTTTTGGTTTTTCAAGACAGGGTTCTCTGTGGCTTTGGAGGCTATCCTGGAACTAGCTCTTGTAGACCAGGCTGTTCTCGAACTCACAAGTGCTGGGATTAAAGGTGTGCGCCACTAACGCCCGGTTTTGGTTACAATTTTTAATGCTGTCTTTTGAAAACATTGGGATGTTTTCTAAATCATGGGTATTTTGTTTCTATAAACTATATAGAACTATGTATCTTTATATGTGTGATGTTCTTCTTTATTATATTTCCTCTAATTTGTAAGGAATAGAACTATTAAATCAAAAGGGATGTATATTTGAAGTATAGAACTAAATTTTATATGTTATATACAATACTATATGCTAAGTAAAGAACCTAAGCCGGGCGTTGGTGGCACACGCCTTTAATCCCAGCACTTGGGAGGCAGAGTCAGGCAGATCTCTCTGAGTTTGAGGCCAGCCTGGTCTACAGAGGAAGTTCCAGGACAGGAACAGAGAAAGCCTGTCTTGAAACTGCCCCCCCCCCAAAGAACCTAATAATTAATAGTTGGAACTAATATATACATAAAATAAATTACAATTTTTGTTTTACTTATTTTCTTAAGTTGGATGGTGTCTATTCAAATACAACTATAATTTGATGCCATTTTCTTCATTTAGCAAACAACTACAAATAAGGGTTTTTTTATTTCATTAATAAGTCATTTATACAGGTGGGTTTGGTGGTGTACACCTTTATCCCAGCATTGGGAGGCAGAGGCAAGAGAATCTCTGTGAGTTCAAGGTCATCCTGGTTTACAGAGTTGAGTTTCAGTATAGCCAGGGCAACAGAAAAGCCATGTCTCTGGGGTGGGGTGGGAGGTGGGATAACCATAAATTTTAAAAAAGTAATCTATTCCACAAATCTGGTGTATTTGTTATTTATTTGAGACAGGGTCTCTCTACGTAACCCTAACTGTCCTAGAACTCACTATGTAGACCAAGCTGTCCTTGAACTCACAGGGATCCACCTGCTCCTGCCTCCTGAGTGCTGGGATTAAAGGTGAAATCTATTTGTTTTAGTTTGTTTCATATAATGTTAGTGAATTGGGATTCATAAGTCAAAATATTTGGTATGCTGAACTCTTACGATGCTTCTCTCATTATGAAATTACTTTAAGAAACTGAGACTTTTTCATAGATACAAATGTATAAGAGTAATTTATCTAAAATTTGAGTAGGCACATGAGACTAAATTAGGTAACTTAAATTCTCTTTCCCTTTCCTTTCTTCTTTCTTTCTTTCTTTCTTTCTTTCTTTCTTTCTTTCTTTCTTTCTTTCTTTCTTTCTGAGACAGAGTCTCATGTAGACCAAAGTGACCCCAAATTTGCTGTGTAGCAAGGATGACCTTGAACTACTGGTTCTTCTGCCTCTACATCCCAAATTATAGTTATGGGCTACCAAATCAATATTCAAAATAATTGTTTTATTTAAAAATAACTAAAGAGATTAAAACAAACTTGACAATTTTTCTTTACACATACTTTCCATACCATCAAACTGTGATTTTTAAACAAAAATGGGAGAAAATTCTCTCATTTTCAAACTAGAAATCCAGTATCCTTAGAGGATATATGCCACATAGTATGACACAATGCTCTGTCTTTAAACACAAGGCCAACTATACTTATTATGCTCCCAATGAGTTACATGCGAAACAAGGTGGATTTTATCATCACCTTCTGAGATGAAGTTTTTTTTTGCTTCAGTTTAAATTTTATATTTACTTAAAATCTGGAGGATACAAAAGAAAACACTTGAAAGTATCTCACTTCTGTTTCTTCCTTAGCCATCCATTTCCTCTTTAAAGAGGAAACACCATAGAATGCCTGGATGGACTTCAGAGTTTGATTGTAGCTGAAAGGCAACTTCATATTGGCTTTTAAAAAAATCCTTCTTCAGAAGCTACATATCTCATGGATATAAATTGTGGTGATATATTGTTTATGATTTAATAAAGCTTGTCTGAAGATCAATAAAGGAAAGCAGCCAGCCACTAGCTCTCACCTCTACCTCAGACTGAAAGGGTAATCCTGGCTCCATGACTCCTCAGTGTGGCTAGAGACTGAATGCCTTCCTGTCCTCAATGTGGCTGGAGACTAAATCTTCCCTGAGACCCTTTGCTTCTTCCTTATATACCTCTCTAGTGCTGGGATTAAAGGCATGAGATCTGTTACTCTTTTTTTTTTTTTTAAAGATTTTATTTATTTATTATGTATACAACATTTTGCTTCCATGTATATCTGCACACCAGAAGAGGGCACCAGATCTCGTAACAGATGGTTGTGAGCCACCATGTGGTTGCTGGGAATTGAACTCAGGTCCTTTGGAAGAGCAGTCAGTGCTCTTAACCTCTGAGCCATCTCTCCATCTGTTACTCTTTTAGACTGATTGGCCTTGAACTCACAGAGATCCATCTGCCTCTGTCTTCTGAGTCCTGGGATTAAAGGTGTGTACCACCATTGCCCAGCTTCTATGGCTGTCTAGTGTGGCTGGCTTTGCATTCTGATCTTCAATGGCTTTTATTTGATCATAAACAATATATCACAATTCCCCTTTTTGTCTAATACAAAAAAAGAAGGCTATAACTAATTATCTTCAGGCAAGCTTTATTAAATCATAAACAATACATCACCACAGTCAGTAGATTTGGCTGGTCTTCTGTTGATAAAGATTTAGATTTTTAGCTGATAGATTTAGACAATCAGCATTTTCTTCCTGTAGATGTTGCTGCCTTATAAGTTTGATAATTTACACATGTGTGAGTGTCTATAGAAAAATGTTTCTTGAGGAAAAATTGAGGGGCCAAAAGGCAAATGCTTTGCAATTCTTGTAAATAATGCCAAATTGTCCTTCAGTACCCAAAAGGCAGAGGCTGTCTACCCACTAGCTCACTGTCCCGGTGTGTGAGCATACAAGCCACAATCGCAAAGGCAATAGTTTCCTTTAACTTGAGAGCCAGTGCCAGACCGAACCAGGAAAGGAACCTGTGTGGCCTGGGTCTCTGTCCCTCCAGGCAGCATTGCTTTCAGACACCAGAGGTGCTTGCCTGAGCTTCTATGTCTGACTCAGGTCTTGATTTGGGTTGTGTCTCTGCAGCTCTCTTCCGCAGACTCCCTCTTTCCTGCCTTGTGACAGTGGCTTTGGGGCTTTTGACTGTGATTCTCGTGGGTTTACTGATGTGCCAACGGATCCCATGCTGTGGTAAGCGCTGACTTCACCCCAGATCAACCTTTCATTTTATGTTATAAAGCAAGACGACTGCCGGTGGCAGGGTTTTACAGACTTTAGTAGAGAATTCTAAGGATTCAGCCCCACTCCCCACATTGTATACACATTGCTCTAACTTTCTGCAGAGAAACTCCCAGGAAGCTGGGACTTTCTGATCCAGGCTGATTATGCCACAGTTGTCTGGAAAAGGTGCAAGTCTACAAAATGCAATTAACACCTCAGTCTGCAGTCCCCAATCCTGGTACCACATGCAGCCTTCCCACAGGAAGTTATCTAATCCTTATGTGATGAGGAAAACTTTCTCCACTTTCCAGTTCCCAATCTGGAATATGTAGTCTGTACCGCAGTTGCATGCATGTATGTGCTCCTGTGGTCCCGTGATAGAATGGCTTGTGATGATTTTATGCAAATGTGCCTCGTGGAAGGAGAAAAAACAGTAGACTATGGAGCCTTATTTGGAGTCCCCCAAGATGTTTTCACAGTACCTGCTCATTTCAAGCACTTTAAAGAAATGAGGATTGTATCTTCTAGAAGAACCCAGCAAAGAGAATTCTAGCTCTTTTCACTTTAGTGTCTGATGTGCTTTTCTGTCAAAAAAAATTATATTCAAGTAAGTCAGTTTTGTTGAGTATAGAAGTTCTTTCCAATTTCTATTGGCTCCAGATGACCACATCTGTAGGTTCTTTCTGGTTTGTTTCCTTTTCCAGTACACATCATGGCTGGCATGCTGTCTTGAGGCTGGACATCTTGTATGATTCTGCCCATGTAGCTATACATTGGGGATGTGCATGCATCCTTTATGCAGTGTGTATATACCACATGTATACAGTGATTTTCATATAATGTGCACTCCACAGTCCTCAGGCAGATCAGACCTTTGGGCAGAATCCAAGCTTGCTTAGTGGTGTGTACACCAGAAGTGATGAATTGGATATTGCAGACTGTTCCGTCTGAGGCCATGTGTTTAGGTTAGGATTTCCCTAAACCTTAGTTTGAAAAGGGGGAGGGCAACTTAGATACTGGGGATGCCATGTTTTCGTATACATCCTTTTTACTTTCCAGGACCATTGGGCCCACAGAGATGTGAATTGTGTCCTCTTCCTTCTAGGCTCCAAGGACTCTGTGTGTGCCCACTGCCCCAGCTGCCCCAACCTCTGGATGAGGAATGGTAGCCACTGTTATTATTTTTCAACAGAGAAAAAGGATTGGAATTCTAGTCTGGAATTCTGTGCAGACAAAGGCTCACATCTCCTTATGTTTCTGGACGACGAGGAAGTGGTAAATGAAAACATGTAGAAAATATAGAACTATTTCTCCCTCCCTCTTCTTCCCTCTCATCTCACCCATTCTTTCCCTCCTTTTAGATGAGATCTTACTATGCAGTCCAAGCTTTGAACTTGTGGTCTTCCTGCCTCAGCCTTCTAGCTCTTGTGTGTATGTGTGAGTATTTAACCATTTATTTATTGGCATTTGTGTATGTGTATGTTTTTATAAACATTTATTTATTTGTGTGTATATTCAAACAAGTGTGTGTGTGTGTGTGTGTGTGTGTGTGTGTGTGTGTGTGTGTGTATGTGTGTGTGTGTGTTGGAGGTGAGAAGGTGGTAAGCATTGCAGCAAAGGAGTAGGCCTAAAACACGGAACTAGTTAAAAGGCCTTAGGCCCTGAAACATACAGGTCAAGGAAGAAACAGTGGCTTCTATGGAGTAAAGTGGAACGCGTGAGGGAGGGAAAGGAGAGAAAGGAGAGGGGCCACAAGGACAAAAGGGCCACACATAGGGACTTAATGTCTTTGGCTGAGTGTCTTCTTTTTATTCATTGGAATTCAGTAAATTCCAAACTGGGAGCAATGTCCAGAAGGTTGAGTTAAGAAGGAGAGAAAACTATAGGGGTCCTGTTTCCTGAGTTCCCCTCCATGCGTCTGCTGGTCCTAGAGGATGTTAGCAGTGTGACAGGCTGGCACAAACTTACCCAAACTCAATTACCGTTCACATACAAAAAGAAAGTAAGGAATCTTATTGGTTTTTACTGTTAATTTGTTGATTACTTTTTTGGTTTGCTATTACTGTTTGTTTTAATTTGGGGGGAATAAAATCAAACCACAGAGAATAGTTTATTAACAATTGAGAGATGGGGGTTTTGTAGCCCAGGGTGGTTTAAAAAATTCATGATTTTCTGGATTCAGCCTTCTACCCATTTAATCTACTGTGATTAAAGAAATCAGTCCACTACACACCTGGCTTGCCAATTCCTATTCTGAGAAAAGATGAGATATTTAGCTTATTTTCTCTCAAAAGGATCACTTAGACACTTGAAGTTCTGGAAGGATCTGAACTCCAAATCATTCCTCAGAGATTTGGTTTTCCCTTTGTCCTTTCTCTAAGCCAAGGTGGAAGAGACACATGGGTTCTCTTCACTGCACAGAGGAAGAATAACCTTGGCTTCTGGAACTTTCGTAGCAGCTGGTTTCGTTTTGCTATGCTGTTTTGAGGATCTGACTGAAGTCAATAGCAAAAGTGAGCAACTAGCTTGGAAAGTTTGCTCCCTCCCCCCCCCCCAGACTGCAGACACAGCATTAGTGAGTCACAACACAACAATTGAGAACTGGACACAGAGAATTAGTCCTAGCAGCAACGTAAATTACACCAGGCGCCATGGAGTTTCAGGAAGCGATAAGATGCAGAATATCTTATCTCCGTCTTTCTTCTTCCCAGAGGAAGAAGGGGTCCTAGAGGGATTTTGTCTTTCTCTCCTTATGTTATCTGGATCTTGTACCCACTGTGGAGAACACTCAACAGAGTTATGTTGGCTGCATTTCCAAAATGAGACAGTTTTCTCTTAACCGCAGAGCCCTGGGCTCCAGTCAGCATTGGAGGGTGTGGAGTGCCCCTGATGGATTTAGTATCAGCTACTGATAAATTACTTTCCACATTCTTGTGGATGCTTGCTTATTTTTTTTTCTTTCTCCACCTTTTATCAAATTCTACAACAAAATGGTCTGTATGGAGTGGTAGAGTGCTTGTCCCACTGTTACTCTTTTGTTCTCAAGGCAAAACTTGCTTACTATATTATGGTCTGAGCAATATTCCCAGTTTCATACATGGGTCTGGAAAACTACCAAAAGACTGTATTTAAAAACAAAAACCTGGGCCTGGTGGCACATGCCTGTAATTCCACCACTCAGTAGGTTCAGGCAGGAGAGCACGGTGCTCTGGGCCATCCTGGGCTACAGAGTAAGACTCTGCTGCTATACAGGTCTATTGAAACTGAGGCCTTTCAGGGCAGCCAGGTGGTTCAGTGAGTGAAGGTGCTTGCCACCAAACCTGACAACCCGGGTTGGATCCCTGGAACCCATACAGTAGAGGGACAGGTCTGACACTTGCATATGGTCTAATATTGCTTAAATCTTTTCAAATTCTTAAGATAAAATTCTACCTGTGTTTAATTATGATGAGCCATGACATCAGTTATTTTTCTTTGGGTAACTTGGTTATGTTTTAGTCATTAAGACTGCGTTGATTCATCAAAACATCTGACTATTTAATAGTTCTGATTTGTGACTGACTTACCTCAATGTGTATTAAAAAGCTCAGATGCCTTCCATGGACCACATTAATTTGGAAACCTAAAAAGTGTACTTTTGTGTCTTAATGGTAGTTTTATTTTAAGCAGAAATATTACCTGGAAGTTGTATGCATATATAAACACATGTTTACATGCAGTATAGAATTGATTGTATATGCAATATATACTTTTTGGGGGGTTTTGGGGGTTTTGGGGGTTTGTTTGGTTTTGAGATAGGGTTTCTTTATGTAGTCATGGCTATTCTAGACCTCACTAAGTAGACCAGGCTGGCCTCAAACTCATAGAGATCCACCTACCTCTGCCTCCCCCTGTGATGGGATTAAAGGTGTGTGCCACCATGCCTGGTTTCAAGTTTAAACATTGACCCTAGAAAAAGAGGAAAAGGAAGGACAAATATGCATTTGGTTTAATTTTTTAATTACAATTTAAAAGTAACATTAATGGTTCCAGAAGTGACACAACACACAAGTGTTCCATTTCCGTAGTTTCTTTGGGGCATATGAGTCCTGGGTATAACCCTTGGGTGTATTTTTATGCTGTTTCTTCAGTCAGACCCATGTACACACACATGCCCACACACCCCAATCAACCAACCAGAGGACAGAAAAAATAATTTTATCTGGGTTTGAAGGTGGTTTCCACATGGGATGTCCTTCATCTATGAGTGATATGGTGAAAATTTTGAATATCTGGGTTCATCTTATGTTGAAAGGGCTGCTCAAGTGGCTTATCATTGTGTAGGTCTTGAGCACACTAAACCAGCATAAGTAGGGAGTTACTGAAAGTGCTCTTTACCACCCTGCCCCAGGTCTCCCCATCTTCGTGCCTTATCAGCTCCTTGGAGGCGATGAGAAAATGCAATGAATATTTTTCTTCTCTCTTGTGGTGAGGGAGACTGATCCAGAGTCTTGTATATACTAGATAAGGCCTTTACCATCCAGAGCCTTGTATACCCTAGATAATCGCTTTACCACAGAACCCCAGTCCCAGCCCGAGAAATGAAAGGTTTTCTTAGAAAGTCAGGGGAGAAAGCAGACAACACACATTTCTCTTTTAGTTTTAAGCAATCTTTTTTAGTAAGTGGGCTTAGAAATGCACAAAGTGCCAGGCCACCCCGAACACTGTAATGTCACTTCATCCCAGTCTCTCTTTCTTCTTTGTTCTTCCTGGATACCCCAGCATGCACACTTGGGGCTCAGGTGAGGCAAAAGGGGCGGAGATTTATATTTAGGAAGCTTTTGTCCCTCGTAGCATGATACCTGACTCCACAGTCTACCGCTCCAGAAATACCTCCTGAATAGAGTTTCCTATATTTCCTCAAGGTGTTGGGAAGATTGTAAGCAAGAGGTCTTGCCATTACAGTAATTATATTTTAGTGAGAAGAGACAAAGTCGTAAACAAAGATGCTAACTCGAGCTTTGGAGACAATGTGCAGTTTGATATACCAGTGACTGTGGGGGCTGTTTTACATGGACCCCTCAGAAGTGGGACTGAGGCCTGCATGGTGACAGTCATGTGAAAATCCCGGGGAAACGTGTCTTTGCATGGAAGCCATGCAAAGAGCTAATGCAAGGATATCCTCGGCCTGTCACAAAAACCAGAGAGAAGGTTGATGGGGCTGGAAGTTGGTGGAGAGGTGGTTGGCAGGGTCCAGGTCACGAAAGTCTTTGTGTGTGTAGCAAAGGTTTTAGGTTTTCAAAACCTGAAACCCAGTGGAGATAAAATAGAGGTAATTCTGGCCTTAGTAAACAACACAGAAGCATTTTCAATCATCTGCCATCCCTGGGCAGGCAGGGTTTATTCTTCACTTGACCCTGAGTAAAGCCCTTTCTTCTTGCCCGTCAGAATGCAGTCAGGCAAAGGAAGGCCATCAAAGCAAAGCCCATACATTCCTTCTTTTCAGCCACCACCTTCCAGGAATAGGACAAAAATGACAGCCAAATGGGACATTTAGTAGCATCTCCATAACAATAGAGTTGGGATTTCACTGGGCTTTCTTGATTCCTAATAAAAGACTATTTTCTCCAAAAGAAATTGTTCAACAAAAAGCTAATCTAAAATACGGTAAAAAGATGGTTCAAGTAATTCAGGCCAAATTCAATTAATTAAGCTGTCACTGGAAATTATTGAAAACGCAATTTTCATTCTATGGATGCTCAACCTTCCAGCAAGATTAATCTTCTTGGATGTATTCTTTGTTCTGTTTAATGTATTGGGCAGCTCCCTTAGGGTACAAACATCTTCACTTGATTGTAACCCTGTACAGAGCAAAGCATCTTTTATCTTGGTCCCAATGGGTAGCACAGCATACAGACTGGTATACTTAATTTAACTCTACCTTTAAGGCCCATTGCCTTATTGTACTCCCACCCCCGTTGTTAAATACAAGATTAAGGATTCGGAAAACGAGTCCAGTGGGGGGAACACACAAGTATATTGCTTTGAGTTTGAAGGTAGGTGGTGCGTTGGATGTGTAAAATGAGTGCTTCTGCAGCAAGGTTGAGCTGCTTTCTGTTGGATACTATCAGGCTCCATCTAATCAGAAAGGAAGTAGCAATGGAAGGCGGAGCTGCGACAGAATCTTATCTGCTGTACTGTAAGAACGTGCTTATAAACTAAAGGTCAGTGCTGGGAAGAGGCTCCTTGCAGGAGGCAGATTTCTGTTAACACCCAGAGCCCCATTCGAATTAGAAGCTAAAAGAGGGAATGGTTGTCCTGGAGAGAGGACAGCTCTGGAGACTAGGATGGCTCCAAAACTCAAGGTCCCTGCTGAGAGCCCCCTTCAGCTCATCCAAAGGTGTCTTTATGTGGTCTCTTCTTATTTTAAGGTCACAGAATCCTGTCATGGGAACATCATCCTATGACCTCACATAAGCCTAATTAACTCAGATGCCGTCACACTGGAAGTTCAACCCATGAATTTCAGGGCACATAGATATGCGGTCACTTCTGAGACAGTGGATGATCGTGTGACTCACTCAGGGCGTCTCTGGTGTTCTGTCTCTGTTATCCTTCTACACCATCTTCCATCTCTCGCTCAGATCCCCTTCCAAAAGTACTTGGACAATGACTTTTACTGGATCGGCTTGAGGAAAACTGATGGCTGGAGATGGGAAGGCGGCCCCATTCTAAGCTTAAGGTAAAGTCTTTGAAGAGTGAGGGCAGTGGAAAAAGGAGGAGGAGGCAGGAAAAGCCCGGGGCTTAGGAAAGAGAAGGAAAACACCACAGACAGCAAAGTGTGAAAACGAGAGACATAAGGAACAAACAGAGGTGTGAGCAGAGGTGGTCATAGGAAGCTCAAAACTGTGGTGATGTTTTAAGGGGCAGTCGGATAAAGACGTTTATTCTGCTGTTTTGGGACCCTCAGGGTCTGAGAAGGAGACAGATTCACCTTTTTCTTCCTTCACGCCTTTTAAGTCTTCTCCTGTGCATGTTACTCAAAGTGACTGACACCTGTGATTTCTTACAGGATTGTTTCCAACAGCTTGATACAGACATGTGGTACCATCCACAAAGATGGCCTTCAAGCCTCTAGTTGTGAAGTTCCTTTGCGGTGGATCTGTCAGAAGACCACAAACTGACGGATGCCACTGTGTCCTGAGCCTTGGCTCTGCCACATGTCTTTCAAAGCAGGGAACTGGCCTGGGAAAAATCTTTGTTCTCAAATGTATGCTTAACAAATGCCAAACCTGCTATGCCATCAGGCAGAGGATTAGCAGAGCCTCCTGGGGGCTTGGCATTTTCCTGCTGGTCTTTCTTGGAGACTATTTAAATAAGTATTATGTAGCCATTTAAATCCTAGATCTGGGCAAATGAAATAGAGTTTGTTTAAATGGCTCTCACTGTAGAAAGTCACCCTGGCTCCCTCATCTCTACCTCCACCATCTCTGTCAAAGATATGTGGAAAACTATTCCTCCACAAGGAAGGATGAAACCCTGCCGTGCTCAGTGACTGTCACATGGAGATCAACTAGACAGAAAAAACACACACCTCATGTTCTCACTCATGCTTGGAAGTTAAACAAGCTTGTGCCATAGTTGCAGGGAGAAGAGCAGTAGGTACAGAGTGTTGGGACTGTGGAGGTTGGTTGATGTCTTGGCTGGAGTGCCCTGTAGCTCAGCGGGGTGACAATAATGGTCAGTAATTATTATATAGCTGCCAATTTATTGTGAATTTCAAAATAGCTAGATGAAAGGACTATGGGTGTTTCCAAATGCCTGAGAGGATGGATGTACCGACCCCTCTGATTGGTCATTGACCTGCATTGAAATATCACTCTGTAACCCACAAGTGTGCACGATTGTTAAGTATCATTTAAGAATTGAAATAAAATAAGACACAATTAAAATAAAAAAAAACCCAACTCATTCTGCTGCATTTCTATTTTATATTCTGATCTGCTGTGAAGAAACACGTGCGTGTAGTATTTCGCTGAGGCTCTTTTCTGTGTGCTGGCGTGAAACATACAGAATACACAAGATAACATGTGTCCTGCGCGTCCTGTCACTGTGCATTCTGTCCTACCGGTGGCTCTTGGTGCATGAAGTTTTATTCTAAAACACTGCTTGCTGCCAGAAGACATGACTGCAAGGTGTGGGAAGCGGCCGTGGACAGCCTGCTGCTTTCTGCTGCCGAGCTCTTCACACTTATACAATGACCTGCGCCTAATCTGCTTTCGCAAATAAGCTTGCATGAGTGTGGTTGAAGGAGCCAATGTGTGACGGTTTCTGTTCTGTGTGGTGAATGTGTGCTTGGCCTGTTAGCTCAGTGATAGCCATTAATCTCACAGTGGGTTTTTATAGAGAAAACTTGACAGAAGTAGTTTACGTGGTTGAGTCCTGTCCTGATGCCTTGAAAGTGAGAAGACTTCATTATTTCTTCTTGGGAGAGTTTGGACACAGGTGAGGAGGGAAGGTACCCTTTGAGGCTGTACACAACAAAACTGAAGTAAAGCTTTGTCTTTTGACAATGCTGGGTTGCCATGTTTGTTTTCATAGTCCTCTCTTCTACTATTCTCTTTCAGCATCTGAGATAGTACCAGTATTCAGCAAATACTTAATAAACAAACTAGTGAACAAAATAAGAGAAGTTAAAAAGATTTCTTCAGGTTGTTTCTGTTAGGTCATGAGTTAGAGGGATTAAAGGCAAGAAAAAGAGTGTATTCTGGCCCTGCTAGCCCACCCAAGTGAGCAGTAAATAGCTAACACCCCAAAGGCAACAGCTAATTTAATTTGGGTTTTCTGTTCATAGAAGGAAGTGGTGGGGACACACGCCCATCCTCCTACAATCTCCCAGCTTTGCTCCTGGAAGAGGACTCTCATAATTTATGGGCGTGGTGGTATTTTCTCCCACTTTGTTGGAGTAATGATGATGACTCCACTTGGGTCATGGCTTGACTGCTAGAAGATACACAATTTCAGTTATCTATTCAAAGATAAATGAAGGGGATGGCAGGCAGGATGTGTACAGTTTCCTTCACAAAGTTCAGTTGATGTGTAAGGATTTCCCATGGTTACCAGTGCTGGGTGTTATCTTGTCTCCCGGAAGTGTTAGTATAGAAATTGCTCATTTCCAGCAGGGTATGGTGGTCATTTATTTGTGTTGAGTTTTAATGTGTTTAATTTGTGTGTGCACATGTGGTACAGTGTGTGTGGAAGTCAGGACAGTTTGTTGAGCTGTTTGCTTTTACTACCATGTGGGGTCTGGGGATGGAACCAGACATCTCTACTTGCTGGGCATTCTCTCCAGATTAGAATAAGGCAGTAACTTAAGATACTACCAGAATATTAATAAGATTAAGATGACCAAGAGAGGGAAAAACCTCTGTAGAGGCTATCTGAGACAATAGTTAAGATGGAAATATAGCTGTATATTCTTTACACAGCAGCAGGAATTGAGGCTTCTGTCTCTGTGTTTTTATTATTTTCTTCTTCTACTTCAATAAACTTTTTTGTTTTTGAGCCTGAGTATAAAATTTAGCAGTATGAAACTCTTCATCGTGCATCAGCATCTTTATTGGGTCTTGCAGTTTCTCATGTCTGTTTCTGCTTCTCACCTTTCCTCTGGGGAAATGTTCCTTCTGTCTGCTTCCATCTTTAGGAAGTGGGCAGGTTTGACTTTTTTCCATAGGTAACTCAATGGTTTTCAAAACACACCTCACCGTTTCACTGTTTTCTGTTGTGTTATGTCGTTGAGACCTTCCACCCAAGCTGTGTGTAGTTAATTCATCCTTTTGGCTGCTTCCTAGCCTCTGTATGCTGTATCCATTGTCTTAATGGGATATCTCTATTTTGCCTCTGATTCCCCACAATGTTTTAAAGCCAGGATGAATATTTCTACATGGCTCTATCCTTGCTTTTCTCTACTTAGGGAATGGGCCTACCCTCTCTACTGTTACTTAGATTTCAGACTGGAATGCTGGACCTGGCAAAGAGTTAGGGAATTGGGAGAAGAGGCAGATTCTCAAAAGGACAACATAACACTTTCAAACACCAGGCAGTGGTAGAATGGTATTGGTCTAGCATGCACTAGGCCCTGGTTTCTGTCCTCAGTATCACAGAGAAGAACAAACAAACACTGGCATTTCAACAAGCGATTCTCTCACTGCTTATCACTTATCAGAGACCCTGGTGAAAGCACAGTACTGGCCACAATCTAAAAGGTAAACTGATGACAGCAAATATAATTAGCTACTCTTTCCTGGGACAAAGCTAAGAGATGTTGAAAGATAAACTCCTGGTAGTGTGTGAAGTTAGCCAGCTCCTGTCTCCAACACCCAAACCAAGTTTTGAGCCACACACTCGAAGTTAAAGTGATAATAACAGAAGGAGATTGATCTTTCTTCTCT